AGTCAATATTTACTCTTGCGCTGTATAAGATCATATTTCTTTTTAATTGGTGAATTGACATTTAACAGTTGTTTGGTAGAAATTAAAATCTAGCCCCTATCTGGGCTCCATTAATCCTAAAACAATATTACACGTGAACCTAAAAGTGTATTTGATTCAACAATCCCAAAGTTTCTTTTTGATCCAATCAAATAAGGAAAAATCTTTTTCTTTTTTCGCCCATTATTTTAATCATATATTTTCCAAAAAATACTATTTCAAAACTCTTCAAAAAAAAAAAAAACCCCAAAATGGGGCTCAAACAATAGCCTAAATTTTAATTTAAGTCAGTTGATAATTAATTTAATTGTATATTTAATGGGATTCATAACTTTTCAACCACACATTTTATCAATTTTTATCAAAGACTAATAAAATTATGATTTTAATCCCCACCAATCCGGGGCTTAGACTATTAATTTTTCCTTTAATATGTCACCTTCATATGGTGGCATCACTGCCTTGGGTTTGAGGATTGGTGGGGTGAGGGTGAGGCTTGGGTTGAGGGGAAGTGTGGCAAAATATATATTTTTTCAATTTATTTCGTTCACTGCTTCTTTAAATTTGAAACTATGTCATTTCATGCACACTTCCTTCTTTTGATGGAAATTGTGATCAAGGACAAATATATCTGAAAATGATAGATCGAGTAGTTAGAGTTTAGAAAAAAAGTTGATACAAGAAACACGGAAAGTGTCAAATATTTAGAACCGTTGGTACAATTTACCGTTAACTTGATAAGATAAAATGGATCAATGATTAGGGGAGATTATGGTGGGGCGGGGGCCGTGGCCGTGGCCGTAACCCCGATTCTTCAATTATATTATACAAATACCAAGTCAAATTGAGTAACCAATAATAGAGAAAAGGAAAGAGAAGCAAGCATAGGGCTCGTGCGGCGGTGCGGGTTTATTAATAGAGACCTCCTCTGCAAGCAAAAATTACAACAAACCTTCCCAAATTCCTTCTTCCTTTATCACATTAAGCATTTTTGGTTCTTTATTTAATCAATGGAAATCCCAGAGAAATTTGGTAGGTTTTCCAGCTGCCGGGGAGTGGCTTTCGAAATCAAACCACATCCAGATCCATTTGCAATTTCCAATCCCACCATCGATCCACCTAGAAACAGTACAAAACTTTGGCTTCCATGGGGGAATGCTTCAAAAATTGTTTCATCTTCGGAACTCATGCAAAGGTCAATGAGCCGAACCAGCAGCCATTTTTGTGATCTTGAACTTGATTATGATGATGACGTTGATACTCTTGCTGATATTGAGGAAGGCTATGAAGAGGAGAAAGTGGAGCCACTGCCACTGCCGCTTCCGCCAGCCTTGAGTAAACGTGAACAGCCCAAAGCCACCGGCAGTGCAGCGAAGGCGAAGCCATCGAGACTGTCGGTGATACTTCTTGATCAAGGCTTGTTCACTGTTTACAAACGGCTCTTTGTCGTTTGTTTGGCTTTGAACATTACTGGTCTGGTTCTTGCAGCAACTGGACACTTCCCATATGCAAGAAA